GACTCAGTCTGCGGATTTATCAGTAAATGCGTGGAAGATGTCGTCCCATCCAGAACAGCTAAATCCTTCCCAAATCAAAAACCCTGGATTAACGGAGATGTTCGCGCGGCACGGAGCACCGCCTTTGCCTCCGCGAACACATCGGACTACAAACACGCACATTACCAACTCCGGAAGACGATCAAAGCAGCCAAACGTGAGTACAGGGACAGGGTGGAGCAACAGTTTGACAACCCTCGGAGTATGTGGCAGGGACTAAACATGATCGCAGACTTTAGAGGGAAAACCAGCACACCGCAGACCACGGCCTCTCTGTGTGAGGATCTAAACGTATTCTACGCTAGATTCGACGCAGCGAACACCATGAGACCGGACAGTGTGCGCACCGCAGATGACGTCAGTGCGCACACTGTGTCTGAGGAGGATGTGCGGAAGTGCTTCAGGAAGGTGAACGCACGCAAAGCTACTGGTCCGGACGGGATTCCCGGCCGCGTCCTCAGGTCATGCGCGGCTCAGCTGGCTGGAGTGTTCACACACACATCTTCAACCTTTCCCTCTCTCTGTCTGTAGTCCCAGCCTGCTTCAAAATGGCCACCATCGTCCCTGTACCCAAATCCTCCACCATCTCCTCATTGAACGACTGGCGACCTGTAGCCCTGACCCCCATCGTGAGCAAATGCTTCGAGAAGCTGGTCAGGGACTTCATCCGCTCTGCACTACCCGACTCACTGGACCCTCTACAGTTCGCATACCGCCACAACAGGTCCACTGATGATGCCATAGCCCTGACACTACATACTGCCCTCTCACACCTGGAGAAGAGAGACACGTATGTGAGAATGCTGTTTGTAGATTACAGCTCAGCATTCAATACCATCGTTCCCTCAAAGCTGGACAGGAAACTGCAGGATCTAGGACTGAGCAGCTCCCTCTGCAGCTGGATCCTTAGCTTCCTGTCTGACAGACGCCAAGTGGTCAGACTGGGCAGCATCACCTCATCCCCATCACACTGAACACTGGTGCTCCACAGGGGTGTGTACTGAGCCCTCTCCTGTACTCACTCTACACCTATGTCAGGAACTTAGGGATTATCCTTGATCCTGCTCTTACGTTAGATAGTCATGTTAAATCTCTTGTTCGGTCTTGCTTTTATCATTTAAGAAATATTTCTAAATTGAGCTCTATAATATCCTATACCGAACTGGAGATTGTTATTCATGCTTTTATCTCATCACGACTGGACTATTGCAATTCCCTGTTTACTTGTCTAAACAAAGGTTCTTTGGAGCGTCTGCAGATCGTTCAGAATGCTGCAGCAAGACTTTTGACGAAAGCTTCTAAATATTCACATATAACACCGTTGCTTATGCAGTTACATTGGCTTCCTGTCGAATTTAGAGTCCATTTTAAGATTTTGGTTTTAACTTTTAAGGCTCTTCGACAACAAGCACCACCATATATTATTGAACTTTTACAGCCCTATGCCCCTAGTAGGTCTCTGAGGTCGAGTAGTCAGGGCCTACTTGTCACTCAGTATACGAGACTGAAAACTAGGGGTGTTAGAGCTTTTGCTACTGTGGCCGCCAGACTGTGGAATTCCCTTCCTCAGGACTTACGATCCGCTGATTCATTGATTACTTTTAAAAAACAGCTAAAAACAAATCTTTTTATAATTGCTTTTTGCTAACTTTGTTTGTATTTTGTCTTTTTAATCTGTTATATCTTGTTAAGCACTTTGTGATTTCTATCTAGAAATGTGCTATATAAATAAAACTTTACTTACTTACTTACTTACTTACTATGACTGCACAGCCACTAACAACTCCAACATCATTGTGAAGTTTGCGGACGACACTACAGTGGTGGGTCTTATCACCAACGGTGATGAGACGGCTTACAGGGAGGAGGTCAGCGCCCTGACCCACTGGTGTCAAGACAACCATCTCACCCTCAACGTCGCAAAGACAAAGGAGTTGATAGTGGACTTCCGGAGGTGCAGAGAAGTACACACCCCCATCACCATCAACGGCGCTGCTGTGGAGAGAGTGAGCAGCTTCCGGTTCCTTGGGGTACATCTGGCTGAGGATCTTACGTGGTCAGTACACACAAACAAAACAGTGAAGAAGGTGCAACAGCGTCTCTTCTTTCTCAGGAGACTGAAAAGATTCGGCATGAGCCCCCGCATCCTCAGGACCTTCTATCACTGTGCCATTGAGAGCATCCTCACTGGATGCATCACCACCTGGTATGGCAACTGCACCGCCTACAACCACAAAGCTCTCCAGCGAGTAGTGCGGTGCTCTGAACGGATAATTGGAGGTGAGCTTCCCTCCCTGCAGGACATCTACAGGAAGCACTGCCTGAGGAAAGCGGGGAGGATCATCAAGGACTCCAGTCACCCCAGCCATAAACTGTTCAGACTACTTCCCTCAGGAAGGAGGTTCTGCAGCATCCGGTCCCGTACCAGCAGACTGAGAGACAGCTTTTTCCATCAGGCCATCAGACTGCTGAACACGTCCGTCATAGACACCTCACCTCCACTACTGGAACTTCAACATTATGCACTACATACTGTAAAGTAATGCCACTGTTTTGCACATGTCTAAACTCTGTATATATTATAAAATATGTACACACACACACACACACACACACACACACACACACACAGAAATTCTTTTTTTTTTTTTTTGCATATACTATTATATATTGTACATATATTTATTAGTTTCAGATTTAGCCATTCGTATATTTTGCCTGTTTATGTTATTGTATTTTGCACAACTCTGTTGCTTGTGAAGCTCGCACACAAGAATTTCACTCGCATGTGCTGTACCAATGTACCTGCACATGTGATGTGACAATAAAAGTGATTTGATTTGATTTTTAACCAGGTCTTCCCATTAACACCTGACCTGTCCAGAGGTTCAGTCAATGAGCTCGTCAATAGCTTCAATGCAAAAATGTTAAATGTAATGGACACTATTGCTCCCATTAAGGTGAAGGTTATCGCTGGAAGGAAAAAGTCTCCATGGAGAAACTCCACACTGGTGAAAAATGGAGGAAAAAAAAAAAAAAAAAAAAAAAAAAAAGAGTGTAGGAAAGCTGAGCGCAGATGGAGAAAAACCTCCAGGTTCATTATGACATCTATAAAGAGAAACTTCACAATAATAATTTAATTATAATAATAATAATAATAATAATTTACAACTGAGGAGTGCAAGAAGGTCCTACTTCTCTGACATCATCACCAAAAACAGTCATAATGCTCGGGTCTTATTTTCTACAGTTGACAGGCTAACAAACCCTCCTGTGTCAGTGGCAGCTGCACTTCATTCAACCATGGCCTGCAATGACTTTGCCAAATTCTTCACAGACAAAATCCAAAAGATTAGACAAGCAATTGGTACATCAACAGCAGATCCAGGATATGTACTGTGTCCACTGAAAAACTGTTTAAACACCATCAAACAGTTTCACCCGATTAACAGCAAAGACCTGGAGGACATCTTAGGTCAACTGAACTCCTCCTCTTGTTGGCAGGACATCTAAACAGCAAGTTTTTTCAAAAAGGTCTCAAAGACTTTGGAGTCAGACCTGTTACAGATCGTCAACTTTTCTTTATTATCAGGTGTGTTTCCAGAATCACTAAAAACTGCTGTAATCAAACCTATACTGAAAAAGGACAATCTTGACAAGACACAAATGAACAACTACAGGCCGATCTCAAATCTCCCGTTTTTAAGTAAGATCATTGAAAAAGCAGTTTCTCAACAGCTCAATTACTTCTTAAAACAGAATAACTGCTACGATGCCTTCCAGTCAGGTTTTAGACAGAACCACAGCACTGAAACCGCTCTGACCAAAGTGTTTAATGACATATGTCTGAATACAGACAGTGGAAAAATGTCAGTCTTAGTTTTGCTGGAAAACTAGTCCATGCATTCATCTTTAGTAGGCTTGACTACTGTAACAGCATCTTTACAGGTCTACCTAAAAAAAAAAAATCAGTCAGACAACTACAGCTCATTCAGAACTCTGCTGCTCGAGTCCTCACTAAGACCAAAAAAGTGGACCACATCAGTCCAGCTCTGAGGTCCTTACACTGGCTGCCTGGCCGTCAGAGGATAGACTTTAAAGTTCTGATGCTGGTCTATAAAGCTCTGAATGGTTTAGGACCAAAATACATCAGTGACCTCCTGACCCAGTATGAACCTTCCAGATCCCTCAGGTCATCTGGATCCGTTTTTTTTAATCAGTTCCCAGAGTCAGAACCAGACACGGAGAAGCTGCATTCAGCTTTTATGCTCCTTATATCTGGAACAAACTCCCAGAAAGCCTCAGATCAGCTGAAACACTCCGTTTATTTAAATCCAGGTTGAAGACTCACCTATTCTCAGCTGCATTTGAATAAAGCACCAAATCCACACTTTTAAGCTTAAATTTCAAAACTTATATTTTAACTACTGCTTTTATCTACTGTTCTGATCTTATCTACTGTTTTTTTAATCAATTTTAAATCATGCTTTTTATTGTTTTTGTTTTTTAATGTCTCTGTAAAGCACTTTGAATCACCTTGTTGTTGAATTGTGCTATATAAATAAACTTGCCTTGCCAGTGTGCGATGGCCGAACCTGTTTCTTTTCGTGGAGATAATTTCTCCTGCCTTAAAGAAAATCTCCTTACATGGAATAGAAGAGGCTGGAGTCCACAGAAACTGTAGAGAAGCAGGTATACGGTCTTCCTGGGTTCCACAAACTGTCAGCTAAAGAGAATAAATAAATTAAATTGCTGCACATTTTGCAGAATAACATTGTTACGTGTCTGCAGCCTGTATGTTTTCTTTCTCTCTCCTTTTGTTTTCCATTCCCTTAGGTACACAGACTGCAGGCTGGTGTCAATTTGGGGATCTCCAGCTAATTAGAGGAAGGAGGCTTTGATTGGACAAACCAGGAGTGCACACCTTGATAACGAGACTCACGTGTGGCTCTCTTCCTTCCATGCTTTGAATTGTTTGGCACATGTGTAAAGCTGTTCTGGTGTATTTCCTTTGTTTCATGGTTGTGGTGGGAGTAAAGTGGACTAGGTAAGTTTGGGGACCGCATACACTTATTCACGTAGAGTCCTCTTTTGTTAAAAACACTAGGTAAGTAGGTTGGTGCCACCTGTGTAATTTTGAGCTTGTTTTGAGTTGAGGATTAGGGTCTCTTCCCCCTGTTTTTGTTTTTCTAGGATAATAGCTCAGTTAAGTTTTGGTTTTGTCTTTTTGGTGGGTTTTTTTGGCACAACATAACTGTCCCTTTCTCCCCCACATTTGTTGTTTGAATTTGGGTTATTTGTTTTGTGAGAACGCTGCCATTAAACTTTCTGTTTAGAACACCTGTACCGAGTTCCCAGAGTAGTGTTATCCCCTCCTGCCCTCGAGATGTAAAAACATTTTAAGATTATTTTAAAAATAAAATGTTTTTGTATAATATCAAATGTAAAGACTCAAATGGAAGTTTTTCTAAAGTTATTTAATGATATTTATATTATGAAATGCAGGTTTTTGACATTTTAAGATTTTTACATTTTCAGATAAAATAAACACGCACAAAACAAAAGCAAACAACAAGAGCACAAAGCTCGAAAACTCACCCGACTGACCAAAATCGACTCAAAATAAAATACTCCCACGTAACAGAACCTCCTCTCTTCCTCGCTGGCTCCATATCTGTAGGTAGAAAAATCAGTGGTTTGCTATCTGTCACCATCAAAACACTCCACAAATCCCACGAATGTTTCACTTACTTATAAACCAATGAATCAGGTACCGAAGCAGTTAGGTTCTAAATGAAGCTTCAGACGTCACTGATCACGTGACTCTGACCAAACGAATCAAGTTTCGACACAATGTTTCTGAAACAGTGTGGTGATTTTTTTTTTTTTTTAATTTATTTATTTATTTATTTATTTATTTATTTATTTTTTTTTTTTTGGACACACTCCCCAGAGCGTCAGCTTTAAGTGGGCCGTCACTACTTCGAAGCTTCGACACACAGGACATATCACTACTCACAGGTGAATTGCAGTATCCGTGACTATTTGCGGTGCCTTTCATTGGATTGCACTTTTGAATTGGTGGGTCTCAAATTACAGCTAGGGTTTTAGTTGAACATGTACTCAAGAGGATCAGGGCCACTGGGGCAAAAAATGTGTATCGGAATTAATGGGTAACAAAGTAAGGTAAAAGTGAAAAAGGTATTAATCTTTTTCTTTTTTTTCCGGAATAGCAAAATGACTTGGCAACCAAATTTGTCCGTCTAGTTCACATAGTCTGCTGTCGAACCTCGTATTTTCATTTTTGTATTGTTTCCGTAATCTGCAGTTCAGCGGTTTCATCTGCTAGTTCGTAACTCCCACAGTAATGATGAGTCGGAAACGCGCGGATTTTGAAGCCCCGCCTCATGCTTCGCCGCTTTTTCAGAGAAAACGAGAAGTGTTCTTCGCGTGGATTTCATCCAAATGGCAGAGAAGTGGCAGCCGCAGTGTGGCGTCGAGTTGGAGCCGAATCAGTTTTACTGCTCGGTATGTCTGGACCTGCTCAAAGATCCCGTCACCATCCAGTGTGGACACACTTACTGCAGAAGCTGTATCGAGGGATGCTGGGACCAGGAAAAGGAGAAGGGAACGTACAGCTGTCCTCAGTGTAGGGAGGCCTTCAGCCCAAGGCCTGTCCTCGGGAGGAACAACATGCTGGCTGAGGTGATGCATCCACGGTGCCGTTTTTGAAAATAAATAAATAAAATTACCATTTATTTGGGGTAGCTAGTTAACTAAAGTTAAAATATTCAGAGCTCAGAGAAATACTTAATGAGAAATATTTTTCTTTTTCTAAATTATTCTTTCTGATATTATCATTATCCAATTTCTAGTTTGTTTTCATTTACAACATTTATAAACAGATTTTCATTAATGGTGTGGTGGTTTGCTTGGTTTGATTCTAGTCTGAGACACATCCCTTTGGGTTGAGTCAGGAAGGGCAGCTGGTATAAGTATAAGTGAGTACAGTGAGTACATTGTTATGTTTAAGAAACCGTTTGAGATGATTTGAGCTTTGAGATGGTGTGTTAGCCTGCTGGAAGTAGCCATCAGTAGATGACATGCTGCGGTCATAAAAGGATGGACATGGTAGGCAACAATACTTTGGTAGACTGTGGTGTTTGGACTGGGGGAGGCAAAGTGTGCTAGAGGATATCGCCTCTACAGCATTCTAACACAAACCGGAACTGATGCAAAGCAGGATGGATCCATGCTCTTATATTGTTCATGCCAAAGTTGCAGGAGAAATGTGTTCTTCAGAACCAGCGACAATCTTCTTCAGTAGTCTAATTTTAGTGAGCGTGTGTGAATTCTGTCCTGAGTTGTGTGTTCTTTGCTGTGGAAGTGGCTGTTGCAGATCATCTGCTCAGTTTGAAGTTCAGCAGGTGATCTTGACCATGTCTACATGCCTAAATGCAGCGAGTTGCTGCCATGTGTTTAGTTAATTAGATATTTGTGTTGAAACAAGCAGATGAACAGATGCACCTCATAAAGTGTCCAGTAATCATAATTTTATATTTTCTTTGGCATGTCATTAGATTTTCTTGTGGGTGTTTGCATTGTCTGCTCTTGTTACCCCTAAAATACTTAAATGAATTATATTATCATCATAGCACATGCTTTCTAAATGATAGTGCTGTCTTAAAATAAATAACAGATTTTTTTTATAGTTTTAATTTGTATAGTTATAAAGGCTAATGGAAGGTATATTTGCTATTTGTGGACTTAATTGGGATGCTTTTGCTGACTTCATCCTCTTTCCGTTCTAGTTTGATTCTGTTTGTTGTGCAAAACCTTTGACCGCTTTTATTTGATCACTGTAGGTTGTAGAGAAGCTGAAGAGGACAGTATCCCAACAGGCCCGTCCAGCTTCTCCTCTTGCTCCTGCAGGACCAACAGACATTGCCTGTGATTTCTGTTGTGGGACCAAAAGAAACAAAGCCAGCATGTCTTGCCTGACCTGCTTGGCATCGTACTGTCCTGCTCATCTTGAGCCTCACCACAGTTTTCCTGTGCTGAAGCTTCACCAGCTGGTGTCTGCTACAGTGCCACTTAAGGAAAAAATGTGCACAAAGCACAACAAGCTGATGGAGGTTTACTGTAAGACTGATCAAAGGTGTATCTGCTATTTGTGCACCATGGACGATCACAGGCGCCACTCAACAGTGTCAGCTGCAGCAGAAAGAGCTGATAAACAGGTAGAGACAAAAAGCCAATGTAAATCTGGAGAGTGGTTGAATTTGACTCCTGTGACTGAAATATTCACAATGACACATTGGTGGTTGCTTCTTACAGGTAAAACTTGGTGAGATCCAGAGTGCAGTCAAGCGGAGATTCCAGGAGAGACAAGAGGAGCTGAATGAGCTGGTCCAAGCTGTGAAGGACTTCGAGGTGTGGAAATAAGACTAGAAAACATGTTTCTGCTCTGACCACAGCAGTGTCTTTTGTACAGGTTCTGACATCTGGCAGTGAGAGCTGATAAGCATGACTGTCTGTAATTGCAACACGTATTCCTGCATTTTGGTGTATTTAATACACTGGTTACGTTTGTTTGAATTTATTTTTTATTCATGTTTATTTGCCAGGAGCAAAGTGAATTCAGAAAACTTTCTGATATGTTATGTTTTTAAACTGAACCTTCTTTATACATTATATATAAACAGATTTGTTGTCAGACTGCTGTGAAGTCCAGTGACGAGCTCTTTGACGAGCTGATCTCCTCCATCCAAAACAAACGTGCTTTAATAAAGGAGTTGATTGAAACTCGGCAGAAAACTGCAATAGCTGAGGCAGAAGATCTGCAGATGCAGCTGAAGGAGGAGATAGCCACGCTGGGGAGAAGAGATGATGACCTGGAGCAGCTTTCTCACACAGTTGACCATATTCATTTCATTCAGGTAAAAAGTTGTGTGTTCTCAACCTACCCATCTTTCTTTTTATAATTGTCACCTAACACACTGTAGCTGTGTCCAAAAATGTCGGCTGCATCCTTCGGAGGACCCGGCCTTCGCAGTCTACGTGGGCCGGGTCCTTCAAAGGCCGGAAGTGCGAGGCTGTGAAATGGGACGGTCTAGCCTTCTGATTAGCGTCACCGCTGTCTCGGTGGAGTTTAATAAACTTGGCCGTCTGCTCCTTGCTATCTAAAATATAACAGGACACTGCCGTAAATTCTCGACAGTCTCACGCTTCTGTTTAATCAGTTTTCTTTTCAACGTTTATTCAGCTGTGTGAGGAACCCACCCGATGGATTAATAAAGTTTTATTTAATCTAATAACTTTGATCTCAGCCAAACCGATTTACTCCGGAACAAATAAAACACAGATAAAAGCAAACAATTACATTTTTAAGTTATCCAAGTGACTTATATCATGTTTAACCTGAGTAGCAAAAGAGCGGGGGTCTGAAAACGATGAAGCTGGGAGTCCATTGCTTTCGCCTGCTGGAGTGACCATTGAACCCCACGGCTTGCTATCGAACTGGTGGGTAACAGACGTCTCCGAAAACGTCGGCACGCTTTTGCAAATATGGGATGGCTTGATAAACCAAGCAGATATTTGAAGTTTACACAGCTACTTTCTCGCCTGAAAATATGTTAGAAGTTTATTTTGTGGCCCAGAAAGATTAATAAGAGTAATTTAAAACTTAGTAGTGGCCGCCATTGTTCGCAGCTGAAATTTGGCTGGCCGCGCTATGAATTCTGGGATATGGTGGGCCACGAAGGACACACCCGACCCATCCTTCAAATTCGGGGAAATGAAGGACGCGTTTGTCTTTTTTTTTTCTTTTTTTTTTTTTTAACAGACATGAGTGAGGGATAGGAAAGGGAGAAAGAAAGAGGAAGGAAAAGAAAAACAGAAGGGGAGAAGGACAGTGAGAAAGGGGGGAGAAAAAAAAATCTCCTGGATCACCTGTTGAGAGAAGAATAGAAAACAAGCCAAAAAAAAAAAAACCAAAGCAACATACTAAACACAACACCACATTAATCTAGCTTAGTGTAAACAGCAGTAAATACTAAATATTCAATGTTGTTGTGCAGCACGCAGGACAGACAGCGCACAATGTGCTTTGAAGTAGCAGCCAAGAAAGGTGTAATTTAAGTCTACGAGCAGTGAACACCCGTGTGCATACCTGTGGATCAGCGCGCTTGTATTCAAATGGTTTCCACATGTAATGGTCTGCAAGAGGATGTAGAGAGCCATAGCCCCGTCCCCCAGGGCATGAAGCAGGCATGGAGGAGATCCAGGCCCCAGAGTGCGAGAGCCCAAGGAGGACCACCGGAGGGGCATCCGTGCCACCCTCATGGGAAGGACTGAGGATCCCCAGACGAGGCGTCACCCAGTAGCCACCGAGCAGAAGCTAGAGGGGGCTGCACCGGCGTGCCCGCCGGCTCTGCCGGCAGCCAGCTGTGCCAGAGTGAACCGAGCCGCAGGCCCGGAAGCCCGAGGGCCCCCCGCACCCCGGAGGAGGCCTGACTGAACAACAGGCACCAGGCCCCGCCAGGTAGCCACCGGGAGCGAGCTGGTACATACCTGAGTGCCCAGACCCGGACACCAAGAACCACCTATTCACCGACCCCTGAGGGCATCAGTCACCGCAGGGAGTGTGGTGAGGGGAGATAGGCCTTGGAGGGCCTGGGAGTTCCCAGAGAGGTGGAGTCTAAGACCCGACCTGACATATAGACACAGGCACACACAGACACAAACATGCATTCCCACCCTCATGCACACATATACAAACACTCAGCACTCACCCAACATAAGGATTGACATAAATGGACATGTACACACAATCACACTCCCCAAACATACTCTATACCCCGGGTCCAGGTACCCTCGCCCCCAGAGGGGGAAACAGAACCCAGACCCAAGAGATGTTACCTTTCCCCCCGGGGTGGAGGCAAGCAGACCGTCCCAGGCTCCGCAGCAGCAGGGAGGCCAATCGGACAGCCAACATCTCCTCCCAGCCCCCCCGCCCCGATGGCTAGCAGAGAACGGGGGTGTGTGAAGACCCCATACCTCCCTCCTCCCGCTCATGTGTAGTGTTGCTGCGTGTTGTTCTAAAGTGCATTTAAAACAAGGGAGAGCATGGTGCTGCTGCCAGAGAGCAGCAGGTGTTAGCACGGCCCCTCCCGAGAACCCTCAATGTCTACATGGATTTAAAATTGAGAGGTGGGCACCGGCGCCAGAGGTAGGTTTGAGTACACAGACCGTCCACTGGACGCCGTTAACGTGCCCACCCTCAAGGCCCTATATATATGTGTGTGTTATGAGAGTGTGAGTAATGTGGATGTCTAAGTTGTGAGATAAAATTGAGGCACAGGTGGCCAGAATGGGACGGGGGGGGAAATGTCTCCCCTGCACAACTTGTGACACACCCGCACCCCAAGGCCCTACCTGTGTGGGTGAGTGTGGTGGAGTGGGAAGAGGGAAGTAGCTGGGGATGGGGAGGAAAAGGAGAGAGGGGAGGATGCCCTTTTGTCATGCGCATTTGTCAGCCGCATTTGAAGGAGTCAACGAATTGGGACAGCCTTCGTCGCCTGGCTGTGACGTAATTGGCCTTCAAATGCGGCCTCCAGAGGATGCAGCCAACGTTTTGGGACACAGCTTCTATTATTTCATTTCAGTATGACACAATCATCATCTATAGCTGCAAGACACAAGTATTAGAAAAGTCTTCTAGGGAACATTACAGCCAAGCTTTAATTTTTGTGAAAGCCACTGCCTGATTTGCACTACTTTGGAATGTTGTGTGCCTCGTATATGGAAAGATATAAACATAATGAATTGAGACAGAATGTTCCATGTAACATGCAGTTAATATGCTTTTTCTGTTCTGACTTGTCATTTTTCCTCTAGATCTTCCAGTCTCTCTCAATCTCATGTGAATCGCCAGACCTGCCAACAGGCGCTGTTGTTCGTCCTAAACGTTCAATGGAAGCGGTGACTGACTATGTGTCTGACCTGGCAGATGACATGCAAAACCTTCTGGAGACCACATGGCCTGAGATCTCTGCCACAGGTGGCTGAAGGATATATTAAATAAGCTGAGTACCAGTTCCTCTGTCTGTTACATTTTATATATAAATATATTTTTCCCCTGTTAGTGTCTGTTACAGATGTTGTGCTGCCACCTGTGCCAAAGACCAGGGGAGAGTTATTGCGCTGTAAGTAAAAACCGTTAAGGCAGATCATTATATAAATGAAGTAATCACTTAATAAATACTAGAAGGCTGATGATATTCCTGGTTTGCTTGTCCATCAGATCACTGTCCTCTAACACTGGATCCCAACTCGGTCAACAACTGCTTTGTCATTTCACAAGAATCTAAACGAGTGACGAGTGACTCCAAAGAGAAATATTATTTATCTCACTTGGACAGGTTTGGAGGTGTGAAGCAGGTGCTGTGCAGAGAGGGTTTAACAGGGCGGTGCTATTGGGAGGTCAGTTGGAGTGGTGGCGCCTGGTCATTGGCAGCGTCTTACAAAAACATCAGCCGGAAATTATCTGAGTCAGAATTTGGGAAGAATGACAAGTCCTGGTGTTTGGAGTGCTCTGCAGATGGTTATACTTTCAGACATAACTCAGTAGCCAAGGCGGTGTCAGGTCCTCGTACCTCTCAGATTGGAGTGTACCTGGATTACAGGTCAGGTACTCTGTCGTTTTACAGCATCTCTGACACCATGACTCTGCTTCACAAAGTGTGCACAGTATTCACTCAGCCTCTCTATCCTGGCCTTGGGCTGAAGGAAGGAAGCTCTGGCTGTTATGCAGAAGTGAAGAAGTTGTGATGCCAACTTTTTCACCTCTACCATGTTGACTAATGTCTTTCAAGACCTAAAATAAGCAGTGAAGAAACCTGTGAGCACATTGAACTTGTTTGACACTTATTTGCTAAATACTGAATGACTCGCACTGTTTGGATGTTGAAAGAAATACCAGGTGCTCCACTGTGACAAAGGACATTGGAAGATTTTGTTGCTCTAATTAATCTATGCTTAACAGTTGTTTGTTTTGTTTGCTTGTTAGTGTTATTGAGTTTAAATTGACTTTTTCACTTGCATGTACTTCATTGTTTTCTTTCCATTTTACTTCTTTAATTTCTGGGGGGGGGATAAAGTTGACAACATACTGCGCATAGGGCTTATTGTACTAATGATGAATGGGTTCAGATGAAGTCAGCTTTGCAGTCAGCTATACCTACATAGATGCTGTATTGCACTATGACCAAAGTCTAGAAGATGGGAAAGCAGGATAAAGGTTAGTGTGGCTTTTGTGACACTTTTCCAAAGGTACTGCACTCATTTCTCAAAGGTTTGCCAAATTAATGGTTCTGTATTTTTAATTTTTAACTGTTTTTAGACTGCTTTCATAGGATTCCTTTCCTGTTTATCTGAGGTTGTGCTAAAAATCAATAAATAAATAAAAATGATTGCCAATATTTAAACTGTTGTGAATGACTTGTTTGTCCATGATCTGTGTTACATCTTGTGATGCTGTGGGGTGTTTGCCCGCTCTCTCCGGCTGTATCCCAATTAAGGGACCGCACGCTTGGGAGTACGCGCAGTACGGGTACTACAGACGGTGCGTACTATAAGTACGGGAAGTGCAGAAGTGAGAGGCTTGTGAACGGTCTAGCCTTCGTCGTGCTGCTCAGGATGCCAAGCAACCATGATACTAACCATGACAAACGTTTCATACAGCACTGTGTGACAGAAATGAAGGAGAAAAAATGTTGGGTTTTTTTGTTTTGTTTTTTTGGTCATTCATTTTTTTTCATGACATCACTTTGATTAGTTGAGACCACGGGACTGTAAAACATGATTGTTGGGCTTCATTTCTGTGCTGAACAGTCATTTAAGATTAGTTAGTAAATAACAACTAGTTAATGTTGTTCATGAGACTAAAGTCATCTCACTGTGGTAATGTAAATATAATATGGCCAATATTATAGTTATTGTTAGATTATTATGATATATCTATAGATATATCTATGTTTATAAGTTACACTTGTGTTTGAATCCTGCAGCTTATCACACATTTGAGATATATATAGATATAGAGATAGATAGAGAGATAGATAGATAGATATATAGAGATAGATATATCTATAGATATAGATATATAGATATAGATATATATCTCAATATCTCAAATGTGTGATAAGCTGCAGGATTCAAACACAAGTGTAACTTATAAACACATGTTCATACTTTTATTACACAATCAGAGCGAAAGAAAAAGAGAGGGAGTGCAAGACAGACAGGTGACAGTCTCAGGTGTATACACTACTACAAAACAGCACAAGAGAAGGATTTAGTGTTTGTGTTTTTTATTATTAGTGGTAGCAGTAGAGGTATTAGTATTAGTTTGATTTACACATGCAATTAATGCATTTCCCATCATTTTCTCATCACTTATTTCTAGTTAACAAATTAAGGCCAGTAACCCAGGTATCAGTGGTGAATATCATGAGCACACATCCTCTAAATATCCATTTAAACATTTTGACTGCAGATGTAATAGCAGGAAATTTCAGAGAAAATAAATCTACTCAAGCAAACACATAAACTAAAACATAACCAGTGGATTATTCAGCAGCAAGCTCAACAAGACATTTTGAAATTGGCCTCTACGTCCCTTCATTTACATAAGTGTTTCTTTTCTTCTAGCACTGAATTTAAAGAGGGTTGTGATATTTGGAAAAACTGGGGCTGGGAAAAGCAGTCTGGCCAACACCATACTGGGAGAGAATGTCTTCGACGTATGCCATTCACCCATTTCTGAAAGAATCCAACCCATTTAGTAATTAAGTCTGTAAATGAAAATAACATCAGTTTTATTGACACTCGTAGTATTTTTGACACAGGCATGTCTGAGCAATTACTCAGGGATGAGATAGTGAGGTGCATGACAGAGTGCGCTCCCGGACCTCATGCTTTTCTCATCGTCCTCAAAGTGGAGAAATTTACACAGCAGGAGCAAGATGTAATCAAAAGAATATGTCAAGATTTCTCTGAAGATGCTATGAAATACGCTGCTGTTATCTTCACTCATGGCGACCAGCTCCCAGAGGGAACGAGAATCGAGGAATTCATCAGTCATAACAAAGAGCTCAGCAATCTGGTGGAGAAGTGTGGAGGCAGATGCCATGTTGTTGATAATAAATACTGGAAAAACAACAAAGAAGATGACTACAGGAGCAATCGGTTCCAAGTAGCAGAGATACTCAGGACAATAGACAAAATAAGTGAGGCAAACAATGGAAGCTGCTACACCAATAAGATGCTACAAAAGATAGAAAGTGAACTACAGAAAGAGGAAGAGCTCATTAGACAGTCATCAGCAAACATGTCGGTTGAACAGATTGCCACTGAAGCTAAAAAGGGTGTGATGAACAAGCTGCTGATTATATTTGCAGGTACAGCAACAGGCGTATTGGTTGGAGCCTTTCTTGGTGTGGCAAAGATGGTCACATCAACTTTTTTGAATCTGCAGGTGCACACAGATGCAACAGTATCACTAGCTGCACAGAAAGGGTTAGAGGGAGGTCGGTTAGGATATGCTGCAGCTGAACAATCAGAAAGTGCATCGGAAGCCTTTAAGAAAGCTGCTAAAGCTGTCCTGGAACACACTGTTAAATAGTTGTTAGGATCATGACAACGACAGAGAGTGGACAGCAAAGAGAGCAGAGAAAGGAGTGTTGTTTTCTTATGACTTGTGTAATTACGTTATCAGTAGAGATAGTGGCAGTAGAGGAACTATTTAGGTATTTAGTCAAGGAAAAGTAGCATTTGCTAAACACTTACACTACTTTGTTCTAGTTAAATATTAGCAAGTACAGGTACTTTTCAAGAATAATTTTCTTTATACAATTGGTTATAGATGCTGATGCATTTTTTTTTTACAATCTATCAAAGTACATCAATAAACACAGATGTAAAACAATATATTTGTAAAACATTATATTTGTTGGTATTCACTTCTTAATCATTTCTGTCAGCTGTAAGCAGAATAATAAATTACTATGAATTTGAAAAAATATTTTAAGCAACTTATAAATAAACATACATTTTAAGACCTTCAGGAGTGAACTTGTGTAAATGCTTTGATTTAAACTTGATTATGTCATACTACAATTTAATGAAACAGGTACATATTAAACGGAAATGTATATATCTGAATTTATTTCTTTTCTTTTCTTCCAGCAATAAAAAAAAACTATTGATGAATCTCTGTAGTTTCTTAGGGTGAACAATATTATATCGACCTGGGAGCTGGTTATAATATACCGTGATTTGGTATTTATAGTATTTGCTATTTTAATAAAATGTATTACATTGTCCCTCCTAAAGATTGGTATGTTTTTTAAATAACTCCTTTTACAAGCTTTTAAGATGTCTCCACTCTGTTTGTTTAAGAAAGACAGACGGTCCAACTTTCCATTATTATTATGAGAAACCCCAGTATACTAGAAAGACATGCATATGGTAAGGACACAATTAATACCAGTTTTTCATTATAAAGCCTGGAAACACAAATTTCCTTCTTTCTTTCATTTCTTTCAAATCACAGTCACAGTATCATCTATTAAAAGACGCAGACACCACCCCCTTAATCCTTTCTTCTGTCCCAAACCTGTGTGCCCATTATGTAAACACAACCACATTCAGCATGTCAGCACATAAGCCACAGACAAAAAGACAAGTCTTTGACAAAGTAAGTCAGATAAATCAAGTCAAGTCACTTTTATTTAAATAGTAAATATAGTTCTGGGAGGAGTTGTTTTAACAATGTAACCATGTCACTTAATCTTCTCTTTTTTTTCTGAGTACAAGTAGATACACGCACCAGAAATAAGCAGGGTGTGTGGGCTTTGTCTCTGAAATATGGTGAGAAGCAGAGATGTTATTTCTCCATGCTGAAAATAAAACAGTTAACGTGGTGCAAGCATCTAAGAAGGAGACACCCGCTAGGTGGGTTGTTTCGTCCTGGACCCACAGCATACTGATAAGAATATATCTTTCAGCTGGCTCTGTTTCATGGAAGAGCTAGAGGAGGTGGCTGGGGAGAAGCTTGGACTACTGCCCCCACCACCCAAACCTAGATAAGATGCAGAGTATGTATGTATGGACAGACTGACTGTTTATATTTATACTACAGGGGCAGATCTTGTGTCTAAGTCAGTGACCTCTGTTCCTTATGTGTACTACATAAGTCCACTCCTATGCTGTACTATTTCACTATCATCTCTCTATCACACAAATAACTAATACATACAGCCTGAAATTTCAATTCAACAATATCAGAGAATTATAGATTCTTTTGTTCTTCAAAGTATCTATCATATCTACCAGATATGGTGTCCAACATTAGAGGTATATCATTCCTTTGGCCTCTGTATGATCCTGTTACACAAGATGTCATTTGTAATAGATCCAACGTGATATCGTAGTTTACTTGAGTAGATAAGAGACCAGGCCCCACCTCACATTGACCTTTGTCATATTATCATCACATTTCACTTTTGGCTTATGTGTCCAACGTTCATAAAGTCTTAAAGGAATAAAAGAATTTTACATTGAAGACTATACATACTCATGATTGTCATACTGTGATCAGACATAGCCTTCTTCTTCAACCCCAATGATTGGGAAAATCATGTAGGAATAAAAAGAAATGTCAGTGTAAATCATGATATGGTCCAGAGTGTCGATTCTGACACACAGAGGCCTACTAGTGGGTCCAAGGACAATTGTAGTACTCTGTCCGTACCTTTCCACATGAGCCTCGTGCATCAGGAGTAGTCTTTCAGCCTCTGTTTGCAATGTTGTTTTACCTTATCTGTTCTGTACTCCAGAACTTTATTGTTAGAACAACCAACAATGTCCACACATCTCATTATTACAGTTTTTCTTTCTGTGTAAAGGGCTGTAAGACAAACCTTTAGTTTTATTTTCAGTCTTAGTCAGGCATGCTGTGTAATTAAAGATATGGATTACGGGAATTATTTTAATCAGTGTATCTTTATTATCATAGTTTATGGGTTTGAATGCTCCGATGTACTTTAGAGGTATGAGTTGGGCACGTAACTTTGATCTCTAAATATGATAAAAGTTGCACCTATAGGGTAGTTTCTGGGCATTTCACTTCTGCTTCACAGAGAATTTGTCTTTTCTGAACCAAATAGTTGCTCATCACCACTTAACTGGCCACGAGTGTGTTTGCAAGTGTACTAGTATCTGTGTTGTATGCTGTCGCCAGGTTGCAGTGAAACAAGATATATAATATAGAATACAAACTTAATAATGGCATTACCAACACCAGGAGATCCTGATGGTGCAGTATAAGAAGATGCAACTAATAAGTTAAAGGTGAAATTAATCTAAATAGATATATACACTACCAGCCAAAGGTTGGACACACCTTCTCATTTAATGGGTTTTT